AGAGAGAGAGAGAGAGCATGAGAGGGGGGAGGGTCAGAGGGAGAAGCAGACTCCCTGCTGAGCAGGGAGCCCGATGTGGGACTTGATCCCGAGACTCCAGGATCATGACCTGAGCTGAAGGCAGTTGCTTAACCAACTGAGCCACCCAGGCGCCCAAGATAATGTATTTTAAATTTAAAATTATTTCATATGGCACAAAAAACACTGACCTGATTTCTAAAATTTCCAAATGATATCCTTGAAATTATAAATGACTCAGAGGATTCATGAATCAGGTTTGATTTTTTACAGAAGTTGAAGCTCTGGAGTTGAAATGTCTTGGATCTTTTCACTATACCACCAAGTTGTGTACTCTGTTTTATGTTTTGTGTTATTGTCTCTTACACTTTGACAATATTCCCCTTGGACTTTAAGGTCTGCTAGAGCAAGTACAGTGTCTAGAGAATCCTTGTTTCTCTTGAATTGGCAGGTAGAATTTATTTAGTAAGAATGTAATAATTTTTTGTTCAATTTGATATTAATAGAAGTATAATTTATATGTATAAGTGTTATATGATATTTTTTAAAAACATCATTGAAGGTTTCTTCTAATGATGGGCTTGGTTATTTGAACTTTGAGAACTAAAAATACTGGACAAAGTAAATTTTAAAAATATTTCAAAAGTAACAAAGAAATGACAATATGGATTAGCCAAACCACAGATTGAAAAACCCAATGAGGGGGTGCCTGGCTGGCTTAGTCAGTAGAGCGTGAGACTCTTATACTCAGGGTCAAGAGTTCAGTCCCCATGTTGGACATGGAGCCTACTTAAGAAAAAAAAAAGAGAAAGGAAAAAGAAGAACGTGCTGAATCTCAAGCAGGGTAAATAAAATAAAACTCATATTTCAACCTATCATAGTGAAATTAAAGAAAACCAATAGACACTAGCCTAAAAGATTGTAGATTCATATTAAAGGAAGGCTGTGGCCAAGTAAACATTTCAAACAATAACTGAAATTTTGACTGATAACACTATACTATTGCCTAAAACTACTTTCCAGGGCTCTGATACAGATTTGTAACTGTACAGAACTATTTCATCAGAGCCTTAGTGATTTTCCTGAACATATAATGAGGGGACAATGAGGATACTGACATCTTCAGGGACTTCCCTTAAATCATGGAACATTGAAATATTCATTTAAATAACATTTTCCTCTACAAATTTTACATAGTGAAGGTTGAGCGTCTCTTCTGATTTGACAGTCCTTCCAGTGCAACTCACCAAAGTGAATAATTTCTTGTATCTCTTTTTATAAGATGAAAGGGCAAATCCTTGTGAATTTCTAGAGGCTTTCTGGGAACTTTGAAAAATAGTTCTACTGTCAGAGATTCTGAAAATTTTACCTTATTTTTTATACTAAGGACCTGATTTGAGGAAAGAAAAAGTAAGGTTTCAGAGGAGATTTTGACAATTGATTTAGATAAGATCATGAGTATTGAGAAACATACTTGGAGAACATGGTTACCTACTTGATCAAAGTGACAATACAACATTTAAAGTTAAACATAAGGTAACATGATTGGAAGGAACCTTATTTTTTTCATAAGTGGAAAACTATGTTTTCTTGAATAATCAAGTAATAAAAAAGCCAGCATAACATACAGAAAATTTCTGCTGCAGATAAACGAGTGTACATGACTGTGGCGGTAGATATGGTCGTCACAGAGGTGGTGGAGCCCGTGCGCTTTCTTCTGGAGACGGTAGTACGTGTGTATCCTGCGAATGAGCGGTTTTGGTATTTCAGCAGAAAGACTTTCACAGAGACTTTCTTCATGAGGTTGAAACAGGTAGGACCTTTTGTTCTTTGCATATAATAACCTGTATATATTTTTTCTATTCTTTTTTAACACCAAGATAATTTCTTAAGTAGTGATAAAAAGTGATAAAAATTTCTCAAATAATCAAGTGATAACATCAAACAGTAGAATATTTGAAAAATCAACATCTAGGTTATGTAAATAAAAACCCAGCTCATGTAATAACTATGTACTTTTTTTCACTAGAAACTTGTACTGTGTATATCTGTGAGGTATCCATGTATTTAATAGAAATATTGCTTTATATATATAAAATGACATCCTTTTATATATAATTATTTAGAACCAAAGAAACAGGGCACAGAAATAGCATTTCTTTATAAAGTTATAATGAAAAAAATTTCCAAATAATACCTGGGATTAATTGTCATAGTTATTTCTACCAAAATATTATATGAATACACTGTGTGACTTATCAGTAAGATCATAAAATTATTTTAATACTAAATAAACAAAAGTGGAGTTTCTATGACATCCCTAAATTAGGCAATGTTAGTAGGTAAAACACATAATTTTTGTTTTGTAGTGAAGGAAGAAGGTAACACTGAAAAATAATTTGAATTCTAATAGTGTATGTTTTGTGAAATGAGGCTAAAATGCTACATTTGAATAATGGAAATCCCTTATATACTACTTAGTACTGCCATTTCCCAAATTTAATAATTTTTGCTGCTTCATAGACTGTAATATGTGAAATGTAACGTGGTAAAAGCAAGTATCCGCATAGTGAACAAATAAAGAAGCCGCTTACCCATTTTCAAATAAAAAAAACTTGTCGTTGCTCAGTTAGGCTTCATATACTACATACTTTGAAATTACTTTGTTTTTTGTCTTTTATAAAATATTAGAGTGGTTTGACACACTTTTATTACTATTTGGATTATTTCCTTTTTTGTAGCATATTCTAATGAAGATTGTATGAACAGTATTCAAAATATTAGCCTCCTGAGTATCTTTTCATATTTTATTATGGAATATTTTCCTTCCTCCCTCCCTCCCTTCTTTTCTTCGCTTTTTTGGTAGCTTAATTGTTCTATCAAAGAATTCACTTGTCATTTTGAGCCGAAGGATTATTCAAAGTTGTGTAAGAGCAAATAAAGGCTCGATATAGAAAGTGGTCATCATTCTTCCCAGTGACCATTAATAAATTATGATGTCAATTCTTCCTTCTTGAGACCTGATAAAAAGTTAGCTTCTTCCCATATCTATCTCTCTCTATATTTTCCCGTATCTACACACACACACACACACACACACACACACACACACACACATATGGCAAGGTAAACAAGAGTACTAAGATTTATATACTTACATCCATTTCAAGAATATATATATTAGAGTAGGTTTTTATAATTAAATGTATTTTCATGTTTTAAAAACTACTGATGTTGAGTGACTGAGTAGCAAGTAATGAAACATTAAAAATACTGTACAAGGTCATTTCATGTGAATTAAGATTAAATCAGATTTACTTATAATATTCAGCTCTACTAAATGTGAGACTGATTTATTTTTTATGTTAATTTTTTTTATTGTGAACAATTTTATGCCACAATATTCGAAAATGTAAATGAAATGGACAAAATCCTTAAAAATACAGTTTATAAAAATGATGGACATAGGAATAAATAGAAAATCTGAATTGCCATATGTATAAAATACGTTGAAGATGCAATTAAAATTTTTCCTACAAAGTGAATTCAGTCTGAATGCCTCCAAACACCTACACACTTATGAAATACACACACAAACACCCATACGGGGACACACAAAAATGTGAACATACATGCACACAACAAGCTACACAGGCTTTCCCTGAGAATAGAGAAGGAAGGAATACTGTCTGAACACATTTTATCAGGCCAGAAAATAAATTGCCCTGAAAACCTGACAGAGAAACTACAAAATGGAAAAACCACAGTAAGCTCTCTCACATGAACTCATATGTAGATTCCTAAACAAAATATTTGCAAACAAGATTCAGGGATTTATAAAATAGATAATTATATATTATGACCATGCAGGTATGGTTTTTTTTTTAAGTTTTTACTTAAATTCCTGAACATACAGTGTAATGTTAGTTCCAGGTGTACGGGGTAGTGATTCAGCACTTGCATACAACATCTGGAGATCATCACAAGTGCACTGTGAGACTGATTTAAATGAATATCAAATATGAAGAAGATGGTTTCTAACTTTAATGGTATAATCTGTGTTCAAGAAAAAATGTGGAAGGCTATGGAGACTGAAGGCATACCTGCCCTGAGTAGAAATAATGAAAAGGAAAAAAATTAAAATCTAAAGAAGTTAAATGAATTGTTAAAATTTATATGGATAATTATTGCAAGAGCTGAAACTATAACTCCTTACTGGAAGTCACACTGTGCTGCTGTAAGGCTAAGCTAGTTTCTTTCAATATTTCAGAGACTGGGTTGGTTTGTGGCTATCGATAACAATTTGGAGATGTTAGTCTAGACTAGACAACATTGGCAGAAAGAAGGAATCAGGTGAGCATCTAACGCAGTTCAGGGTTACCTAGGAAACTCTGGGTCCAGACCATTCCTAATATGAAGGATTCTGGGATGACTGGATTTATTGAATAACCCCAGAACTAGTTCTCTACTCAAACAGGATTAGATCAGATTCCAGGGGGATAATAACAAGCCAGATGGGATTCCCTCTACCCAAATTAAACGTCAGTTTTCCTGCTTTCAAATATAGCAGGAGTTTATCTGTAGGCTAAGGGATGTATGAAAGTATGACTTACACAAATTAATGTTCATTCAGAGCCAAATAGCATTTTCACTTCATTTTCCACTCACAGGAGTGAAGAGAGCATGGAATAAGAGGACCAAATCTAGGGGATTTGGGAAAATTCCCCAGAGACAGCCTTGACCTAAGGCCTGAGAGAGGAATAGAATTTAATTAAAGTACGGAAGAGTATCTGCAAATGCCCAGAGAGCTGGAAAGATTAGGGAGCACAGAAGAGGGGAGAACAGTAGGTAATGATGAGAGGAAGCTAGGTCCCTGATCACATGAAGCTTTGTAGTCCATGGTAAGAGTTTTTTCTAAATCAGCTTCATTGAGGTATAATTAGCACACAATACAATGCATCCATTTTAGTTGTATATTTTGATGAGTTGGGCAAACTTACACACTTGAATAACCACCATTAAAATTAAGATAGACAACATTTCCATCACTTAAAAGTTCCATTGTGCCATCTCAGCCATTCCTCCCCAGGCTCCACCTTAGACAAGCAGTAATCTTCTTTCTGTCATTATAGATTAGAATTGTCTTTTCTAGAGTTTCATATAACTGAAATTGTACAGTATGTACTCTTTTGTGTAAGCCTTCTTTCATAGAACAGTGTTTTTGAGATTCATCCATGTTGTGTGTGTCAGTAACTCATTCCTTTTTATTGTGACATGATAGACCTTTATAAGGATATACCAGAAGTTGTTCAGCCGTTTATCTCTTGGGAATTTGACTTGTTTCCAGTTTTTGACTAGTATGGTTAAAGCTGCTATGTACATGTCTTTATGTGGACATAGGTTTTATTTATCGTGGATAGATAACTAGAAGTAGAATTGCTATGTCATATGGTTAAGTGTATACTTCATAAGAAACAGCCAAACTGTTCTCTGAGGTGCTTGATCACTTTATTTCACTCTGGCAGTTTACATGTGTTCCAATTTCTCCTTGTCCTTGCCAACACTTAGTATTATTAGTCTTTTTTTTTTTAATAATTTTTTTATTGTTATGTTAACCACCCTACATTACATCATTAGTTTTTGATGCAGTGTTCCATCATTCATTGTTTGTGCATAACACCCAGTGCTCCAGGCAGAATGTGCCCTCTTTAATACCCATCACCAGGCTAACCCATCCCCCCACCCTCCTCCCCTCTAAAACCCTCAGTTTGTTTTTCAGAGTCCATCGTCTCTCATGGTTCGTCTCCCCCTCCGACTTACTCCCCTTCATTCTTCCCCTCCTGCTATCTTCTTCTTCTTCTTTTTTTTTCTTAACATATATTGCATTATTTGTTTCAGAAGTACAGATCCGTGATTCATCAGTCTTGTACAATTCGCAGTGCTCACCATAGCACATACCCTCCCCGATGTCTATCACCCAGCCACCCAATCCCTCCCAACCCCCACCACTCCAGCAACCCTCAGTTTGTTTCCTGAGATTAAGAATTCCTCATATCAGTGAGGTCATATGATACATGTCTTTTCTCTGACTGACTTATTTCACTCAGCATAACACCCTCCAGTTCCATCCACGTCGTTGCAAATGGCAAGATCTCATTCCTTTTGATGGCTGCATAATATTCCATTGTGTATATATACCACATCTTCTTTATCCATTCATCTGTCGATGGACATCTTGGCTCTTTCCACAGTTTGGCTATTGTGGACATTGCTGCTATAAACATTGGGGTGCACGTACCCCTTCGGATCCCTACATTTGTATCTTTGTGGTAAATACCCAGTAGTGCAATTGCTGGATCGTATGGTAGTTCTATTTTCAACTGTTTGAGGAACCTCCATACTGTTTTCCAGAGTGGCTGCACCAGCTTGCATTCCCACCAACAGTGTAGGAGGGTTCCCCTTTCTCCGCATCCCCGCCAACATCTGTCATTTCCTGACTTGTTAATTTTAGCCATTCTGACTGGTGTGAGGTGGTATCTCATTGAGGTTTTGATTTGGATTTCCCTGATGCCGAGCGATGTTGAGCACTTTTTCATGTATCTGTTGGCCATTTGGATGTCTTCTTTGGAAAAATGTCTGTTCATGTCTTCTGCCCATTTCTTGATTGGATCATTTGTTCTTTGGGTGTTGAGTTTGATAAGTTCTTTATAGATTTTGGATACTAGCCCTTTATCTGATATGTCATTTGCAAATATGTATTATTAGTCTTTTAAATTTTGGTTCTTCTTATGGTTGTGTAGATGTAACTCATTG